GAGCAAGTCTGCGTCACCAGGGCCAGAGGACATGGCTGAGAGGCCAGAGAGCGGGGCTGCTGTCTCTGTCTCTGCTCTGTGACCCTGGGGGAAGTCATGGACTCCAAGCCTCAGTTTTCTCTGCTGCAAAATGGGATGATGTCATGGACCAAATCAGAAATGAGAAGGTAGCTGGTAACGTGCTACGCCAATGCAAGACAAACCACAGCGGGAAGGGCAGGTCACAGCGTGGCACACCACTGCCCGGCGTGCACTACTCCCTTCTCACCCCCGAAAGGATGTGTTCCTCTCAAATGGCACTGCTTTAGGGAAAAAACAGTCCATTTTAAAAACGGGACTGCACACTGTTTTAAGTGTTGCAAGTGGACAGCAGCAAGTGTTGCTCTACAACCTGGAATCAGAGAACACGCCTCCTGGCAGAGAAAAAGCCAGGACTCTCAGGGAAGGCCCAGGAGGACCCTCCCAATGTTAGCTTGAGTCAGTTCTCAGACCATCTACTCTAGGAAGAGAGAGAGTCCAGCAGGCAGAACTCCCCCTGCGGACCCCAACACACACCCTGCTTCTCTAGGGCCATTTCCAGAGGGAGTTTGGGGAGAACCCCTCTGTCCGGCAGAAGGTGGCATGTCACCTACTGGACACCTGCAGGCTGCATCTCTCTCCCTGGTTGCCCATGCTCTGCAGGTGGATCTCATAGCTCCTGTGTTCTAAGCAGGATGGCAAGCCAGGATGACCTTGTCCTGTTCCAAGGCAGCCCACGAGGCCCCCCCCTCCCCGCTCAATACCGCATTTGCAGCCGAGTCTCCAGCCAGGATGAGCTCCGTTCTGCCATCTGCGTTCCCAGCTCTGCTCGGCTGGGACCTTCTGGGCCGCTGGTGACCCGGCAGCACCTGTCCACCTATGAGCAGCGGATGCTGCTCCTGTGGACAGCCAGGAGCCTTCAGCACTTGGGGAGTCCCACTGTACCCCCAGGGCTTCCCTCTGACACTCCTCAAGCGGAGGCAGTGATGGGGCCCAGGCCCTGGGAAGGGAGGTGAATGACAGGTTAGGAAGCACTGTGGGTAAGAGGAAGTCAAACAGAAACACTGGGCTGTGCCCCTGACTCTAGGGGACTGAGATGCACGTCCAGCTTCCCAGGCACTGGGGACAGTCCGAGTCTGGACCAGACTGATTTACATACAATCCTGTCACTTCACTAGTGGTCCCTGGCCCCTGCTCACTGTATAGGAAGGAATGAAATGCTAGATTCTGGCTTGGTTTCCTACCAAACCTGAGAGGCTCTACAGAATGAATCCTAAGATAGCCCAGCCCGGAGGCAAGGCTACAGGTTTGAAAGGGTTGGGGCATCCGACAGTTTCCTAGTTGATCCTTCTAAGGAGCAGGAGGGGTGGCTGGTGGGGTCCTGGGAATCTGGGGCCTGCTGGAAGCAGGTCCTGATGTCAATTCTCATGGGTCTTCATAGCAGGGTCCCGGTCACTGCTGGCTCCAGCTGTGGCCACTTGCTGGGACACCCTAAAGAGCACACGTGGCTCGCAGGACCGCCACCCCACAGCACCCTGTGATGTGGCCACTTGGAGGAAGGAGAGGGAGAAACTGACTCATATCAGCTGCACTGCAACCACAGGATGTGGGTGAAGGTCGCAGGGTGCCGGAGGGGAGGAGGAATTTTCTACTTGTTAAGGTCAAGGGCTTGGAGAGGGAACTGGGAGCTGCTGAGAGAGAAAGCTCCCTTCCTGTATGTGGTCCTGATGTGGTGCACAGGCCAGGCTTGGACCAAGTTAATATCCTCAATATTCTTATTCTGTGTGTGCATAGCGGCAGACTCTGAAATTTAAACCACAAAATGAAAGCCTGTACCTTTATCCCCCAGAACATACTGTCCCGGAATAGCAATGAGGAGGTGGCCATTAGGAGGCCCTTTCAAACATGCAGGCCCAGACGGGTGCACTGTCTACCCTAGACAGAGAGACGACTGTGCCTGGGGTCAGGAGGGTGCTAAGATCTGCGCGCTGCCTTGCCCGGCATTGTGGTGACGTCTGTCTGGCAGCAAAATCAGAAAAAGCTGGTGGAGAGAGAAAGGAGCCTCTAGAAGGGAAGGACAGTCTTCTGAATGTGAAATCGGGGGGGGG